GAAGAACCTATGGACGTTTCTAACGTTGAAGAACCGGAGTTAATGACCCCAGAAGAATACGCAGAATTCTATCAACAACAATTACGAGAAGAGCCAGAAGAATTAACTGAGGAAGTTGAAAATGAAGAAAATTTTACGAAGACTGCCTCTACAGACCAGAAGACGTAGTGGATACTAATCACCTTCAACAAATTTCAAAACTACCCTTTATTACCCTTCCTAACGGTTTAAAAATTCTTATAGACACAGGAGCCGACAATTCCTTACTAAATGAAAATCTAATGGACAAATTACCACCTGAAAGTATTTTTATTCAACCTTTTTGGATAAAATCAGTTAACGCTATACATACCGCCAATTATAACTGTGAATTACCGCTCTTACAAGACTTAGGAATTAACGAAAATATACACTTTCGCCTACTTGACTGGCATACAAAATTTGATGGACTTTTAGGAACTAAAGACCTCGCAAATTTGGATGCTCAAATAGATATGAAGAATGATACAATTAAACTTAAAGGCAAAACTTTTAAAATGAATACATACACTAATCCTACAGTATTTGTTCCAACGAAGGTAAAGACAAAGAATAAAATTTTATCAGTACCAGTCGATATAAATTTTGGACAAGTTATATTCAAACACCCTTTAGAACAAAGTATGGAAGTATTAGCAAACGCAGAAAATGGCATAGTAAATATTCCGTGTAACGAAGAAACAAGTTATACATTTGATGAACCTGTACAAGTAGAGACTATGGATGCGTATGACGAATCAAAAGTATTTCCATTCGACCAACCTGAAAATTTAGCAGACATTAGCGAATTAATCAGAGTTTCCCATATGAATGTAGAAGAAAAGGCAAAAATAATGAAACTGATAAATGACTACCACGACATCTTTTATGATAACAAAACAGGACTAACATTCACAAACGCTGTTAAACATAACATTAGAACAACTAATGATGACCCAATTTACGTCAAAGGTTACAGACATCCTTATCACCTGAAGGAACACATAAAACAACAAATTGAAGATTTACTAAAGAAGAATATTATCCAACCTTCCATATCACCATATTCATCACCCGTGTGGATTGTACCAAAAAAGCAAGACGCAAGTGGAAAACGAAAATATAGGATGGTAATAGACTATCGTAAATTAAACCAGGTAACCGTGGAGGATAAGTATCCTTTACCGCGCATTGATACAATTTTGGACAATTTAGGACGATGTACCTATTTTTCTACTCTCGATCTAGCTCAGGGATACCACCAAATAGAAATCGACGAAAAATCTGTTGAAAAGACCGCATTTACTGTAGAAGGAGGACACTATGAGTATCTTCGGATGCCATTCGGTTTGAAAAATGCACCCGCAACATTCCAGAGAGTTATGGAAAATATTCTACGACCCTATATATACAAATTCTGTTTTGTGTATATCGATGACGTTATAATATTCTCAAAATCATTGCAAGAACACTTATATCATCTTAAACTTATCTTTGAAAAATTAAAACAGTATAATCTCAAACTACAACCTGATAAATGTGAATTTTTGCGCAAAGAGGTACAATTTTTAGGACATGTTGTTACTGCTGAAGGAGTTTCACCAAATCCCGACAAACTGAAAGCCATTAAAAATTTCCCAATACCTCATGATCGAACTAGTTTAAAATCATTTTTAGGACTTATAGGATATTATAGAAAAATTATACAAGACTTTGCAAAATTAACAGCTCCATTAAACAAGAGATTGAAAAAATGAACAATTATAAATAATAAAGAGCAAGACTTTATCAACTGTTTTAATAAATGTAAGGAAATTTTATGCAACGCACCCGTATTGTCATTTCCCGACTATTAAAAGGCAATTAAAAATAGCAACTGACGCTTCAAATATATCAATAGGAGCAGTACTTTCACAGGAAAATAAACCAATTGCATTTTATTCGAAAACGCTGACCAATGATCAAAGAAACGTATCTGCAATTGAAAAGGAATTTATTGCTAAAACAGGCATGCAAACATTTTCGACCATATTTACTAGGAAAAATATTTTCTACTGAAACTGACCACCAACCTTTGATATAGCTAATGAATGCTAAAAGACTTAATGCAAAATTTCAAATATATAAAGTAATTATGTTAGAATATGAATTTGAAATCATATAAGTCACATAAAAGGTAACAAAAAACTTTGTCACCGATGCACATAGTAGAATTGAAATAAATACCAGAGAAACGTTATTACCCGAACAGGTTGATATGTTATCCATGTTACCTAATGTTGAAGATTCAGAATTAGAAGAAAATATGGATAGTGTAATAGAAGAGTACTGGAATAATAGATCTGATAATTCAAGTCAAACAGCCCATACAGCTGCTGAAAGCCCCGTAATTAATTTAGATATTAGTGAGGAACCACTTAATACATTTAAACAACAAATCATTGTTAATTCAGGAGAAACAAATTATACTATTAAAAGAAGAGTATTTAAAAACACCATTTACGAAATTAAATGTAGAAATATAGACTACTTGGTATCACAAATTCAGTTAATGAACGATTTAACAAGAATAGGAATATATTTTGAAGATGAAAGTTTGGAAAGACAACTGGTTGAAACACTACAACGTAATTATGAAACAATACCATTTAAATTAATAAAATGTACTCAGAAATTAGAAAATATCACTACATTAGAGGACCAACTAGATATTACCAAACAATATCACACTACTATGCATACAGGAATAAATGAAACGTATAAAAAACTAAGAAGAAAATTTTATTGGCCAAAAATGAAAGATACTATAAGTAATGTAGTAAATAAATGTGAAATTTGCCTAACAGCCAAAGAAGAATGTCACCCATATAGGCCACCGTTTCAAGGACCTTTGCTTGCTGAAGAACCCTTTGAAATTGTTCACATGGATGTCTATCAATTTGGACAAACGAAATTCTTGACATTTTTGGATCTTTTTAGTAAACATGCCCTCGCATACCAATTAGAAACAACAAATGCATTGGAAATACTAAGAAAATTTAGACATTACATAATGCATTATAATTTACCCAAACGAATTGTAACAGACAATGGAAAAGAATTCGACAACATACTCTTTAAAGAATATCTAAACGCATTTAATATAGATGTTCATCTAACCACACCTTATAATCCAAATTCGAATTCACCCGTAGAGAGATTTCATCGAACTCTAGCAGAAAAATTAAGAATTTTACGAGAAAATGATCCAGAGAGCACTCTTGAGGATAATGTACAAACTGCAGTATATATGTACAATAATAGCATTCACTCTTCAACCGATTTTACACCTTTTGAAGTTTTATACGGACCTTTTAAAGAAATTGATCCACTAAGAACCTCTTTACAAAAACCTTCAATGCATGAATATGTTCAAAATAGACGAAAAGAATTAATAAAATTTTACGAGCAATTATTTCAAAAACAAAAAGAGAGAGCACAGAAACGCCTCAATTACGTTAATAGAAACAGAAATGATGCCAATGTCGAAATAACACAGGAAAGAGTATTTGTAAGGACTCAACCACAGCGAAAATCAACAAATAAGTATCAACCTGCCACATTTGGAAATAAAAATGACAAAAACATACTTAACATCACCCCAGAGAAAAATAAGAAATCTACCAACCGTCATTTATCTCAAATGAGAAGACTAAGAAAAGAAATTTCTTTACAGGATCAGTTGGAAGCCTCTTCCAGCCGAGAACCTCAGGATCCAGGAAATTAACACTACCGCTGGATATTTAAAAGAAGAGTTAGGACCTGCATACATATTTAATCACTATCACACAATATATTTCGCTGTCAATCACTCTTCATTGTATTCGTCATATTTAAAACTATTAAATGCTGCTACTCTTATCAAATATAAAATTGGAGAAAGTAAAAGAAATGGTCCAGCACTTCGATTATTAGAAAGACGTCTCGCATTCTTTGAACAACAATACGCCAAAATTAATCATTTTATTACTAAAAGAGGATTACTAAACTTCTTGGGAACTGGAATTAAATTCATTACAGGCAATCCTGATAATGATGATTTAGAACAAATAAATTACAATATAAAAGCTCTTGAAGAAAAACAAAGTGAAATTGTGCGAGTGCAAAATAGGTACTCATCAATTTCGAATGAAATAACAAATAAATTAAATAATGATATACAACAGATTCAACAATNGAGGTGATCGCCGAAACTGAGGCCTATTTTGAAGCAAAGGACAAATCGTACTACAAAAATGGTATCGAAAAGTTGGAGGATCGCTATAATCAGTGTATCACCCTTGAAGGGAATTATGTTGAATAAAGAAAACGAATTTTGCAAAAAAAATGTGTTTTACTATTTTAGGCCGGGGACTTTTCAATTGACCTGTTACAATAATAGCATTTACTCTTCAACCGCTTTTACACCTTTTGAAATATTATACAGACCTTTTAAAGAAATTGATCCATTAAGAATCTCTCTACAAAAACATTCTATGCGTGAATATGTTCAAAATAGAAGAAAAGAATTAATAAAATTTTATGACTATCAAAAACGAAAAGAGGAAGCAAAGAAACGCCTCAATTACGTTAATAGAAACAGCAATAATGACAATATCGATATAACACAAGAAAGAGTATTTGTAAAGACTCAACCACAGCGAAAATCAACAAATAAGTATCAACCTGTCACATTTGGAAATAAAAATGACAATAATATACTTAACATTACCCCAGAGAAAAATAAGAAGTCTAACAACCGTCATTTATCTCAAATAAGAAGACTAAGAAAAGAAATTTCTTTACAGGATCAGTTGAAAGCCTCTTCCAGCTGAGAACCTCAGGATCCAGGAAATTAACAGTACCTACTGCTGGAGATTTAAAAGAAGAGGTAGGACAAACTTACATTTCTAATCACTATCATACGATTTTGCGGTCAAACACTCTTCATTGTATTCGTCATATTTAAAGCTACTGAATGCTTCTACTCTTCATCATCATAAGGTCGTCAGAGACTGGTTGGAGACGTACCTCCACTCTTTCCTATCCTGAGCTAAACTTCGCATTTCCCTAAAACTAGGACAACCCACATCCTTAACTATTTGCGAACAGTAATCTAACCTAAGTCCACCTCTACCCCTCCTAACTCCTGTTTCTGCCTCTAATAAGTCTCTGACTAGACCTTCATGCCTGAGAAGGTGTCCTACCAACCTATCTCGCCTATTTTTTATTAACTTCCATAGAGTCCTCTGTTCTCCTCTTATCAAATACAAAACTGGAGAAAGTAAAATAAATAGACCAGCACTTCAATTATTAGAAAAACATCCCGCATTCTTTGAACAACAATAAGCAAAAATTAATCATTTTATTACTAAAAGAGAATTACTAAACTTCTTAGTAACTGGAATTATATTCATTACAGGCAATCCTGATAATGATGATTTAGAACAAATAAATTACAAGATTATGTTGAATAAAACAAAGTGAAATTGTGCAAGTGCAAAATAAATACTCATCAATTTTGAAAGAAACAACATATAAAATGATATACCACTAATTCAACAAAACATAAACAATAGCAAAATTACAAAGTGTTCATGACAAGTAAAACAAAGCACGTTGTAGAAAATGAAGAAATACAATTTTACATTCTTTTAACACATGATAAAATTTTATTGATAAAAAGAGCAATTACACTGGCTAAGCAAAATATATTAAACCTTAAAGTTTTTATTTCAGAAAAATTACCAGTCCTTATCACGACAACTTTTGTAAATATTTTCAATTAATTAAATTATATACCTTAAAAATTCTCTTTATGAAGTAATACCACTTCTAAATGTAAGGATTGTTAGTACTAAACAATCTATTATTTTCCTAATAAGGTTTCCAATTTTTCACGAAACCCCCGAAATATTATTTAAAATACACGTTATTCCTAATGCACAGGAAATCTTCTTATTACCTCCCGCATCTTACGTCACCTCAAATTTTGTTTGGACAGACTCACCATTCCAAATAAAAAATTTATCATTTATTATAAATTTCCATAATTCACGCTGCCGACTGAACGACCAGTGTGAATACGTCAAAAATATCCAAGAAGCAACTCTGGTAGAAGAAATGGAAAATGGAGGACTAATTCTACATGCTGGAAAACCAACTAAAATTTTGGAACAATGTGAAAACCCAAAATTACAAGAAATGGAATTACATGGCAATTATTTAATCCAATCAGAATGCCCGGTCATTGTGGATTCGAACATGTTTTCACCAAAGAAGATACAGGAAAATTATAAGATCCACGAGGACTACCAGATCCCTACGCCCATAAAGGAAGCCAACTCCAAGAAAATAACTATCAAAACATTAAACGACTTAAATCTGCAAGAGATCAAACCAGTCGTATTAAAATATTCAACTTATTTACATTATTCATACATTACAATAATTATTGTTTCTGTTGTAGTTGTATTATTATGCCTTTTGTATAGAAAAAGAAAAGGTAAACCCACACCAAAATTTGAACTATTGGAGCTCAAGGAATGTTCCCTAAATCCAAACTTGGAAAATATCAATTTCGCCGGGACGGCTCAATCTAAGGATGGGGGAGTGATGTCCACAGCCCTGCCTACGCATAATAGATAAGCGGCCTGCGCCTGCATCACCGAGAATGCTTAACTTTTAGAATGAATCTATTGTTTAGACATTATAAATATTACTGCAATACATTTATGTTACTTTACTTTTGTCTTGTGCCTATAACAAGTGGGTTTACATTTCAATAAAGTCAAATTTTGTTCGTTTAAGAGTTTTTAATTGTTTTTAAAAATTTCTTTCTCGAACCCTTGAACATCACTGGCGCTGCGAACAGGATCGGAAAAACGATTCATATAGTGCATCTGCATTGTGATTTCGGTGAATTTTCGGTTCTTTATTTTCCGATTCGAGCTTCTCTCGATACGCGTTCTGTATAGACTTGTGCTGCATTTACGCGTATACCGTCGGACAACAACAACAA